AAACTTCCAAATTTATTTTATATGATCAGCCTAAAACTGTGACACAAAGATATCACAACAGGAAGAAGTAACAAAGATTTAGATACCAAAAGCACAACCAAAGAGAAAAAGAGGTAAACTGGACTTGATGAAAATTAACTTTTGTGCATCAAAGGTCACTATCAATAGAGTAAAAAGGCAATCTATAAAATGGGAGGAAATATTTGCAAATCATATATACTGTATGATAAAGGGTAAATATCCAGATTACACAAAGAACTCTTATAATGCAACAAAAACTCAATTTAAAAGTGGATAAAGGACCTGAATAGACATTTCTCCAAATATATATAAATGCTGACAAGCATTTTAGTGTCATGAAACATGAAGAAAAGAAACTCAAAATCACTATCACTAGGGAAATACAAATCAAAACTATATGAGATACCACGTCACGCCCATTAGAATTGCCATTCTCTAACAGACAAGATCACCGTTACCAAGGATACGGAGACTGGAACCCTTGGACGTTACTGATGGGAACATAAAGTGACGCAGTAGCTGCAGAGAACAGTACGGCAGGTCCTCAAAAACTTAAACATGGAGTTACCACACCATCCAGCAATCCCACTTTTAGGTCTATCTCCCAAAGAAAGCAGGGACTTGAACAGATTTGTGTACCATGTTCATAATACTGGATCATTTGAAAAGTTATGACGTATTTTTATTCTCTGTTTTTCTATGCAAAAATATATCATGACTTTTCCGATGACCCAACAGCATTATTCACAATAACCAAAAAGTAGAAGCAAATAACCCAAATGTAAATTAAAGATGAATGGATAAACAAATTATGGTACACACATATAATGCAGTATTATTATTCGGCATTAAGAAGGAAATTCCAGTATATGCTACATGGATGAACCATGAGGACAGTATGCTAAGTAAAATAAGTTAGATACCAAAAGACAATTATTGTATGATTCCACTTGTATGAGGTACCTAGAATAATTGAACTCATAGGTACAGAAAGGGGTTACGAGGCACTGGAGGGTGGGAAATTGGGAGGTTATTGCTTAGTGAGTATAGAATTTCAGTTTGGGGGAAAAACTTCTAGAGATGGATAGTGATGATGGTAATGTAATGTAGTAATGTAATGCACCTAATGTCACTAAACTGTACACTTCAAAAAGGTTAGTATGTGGGGTCAGGAGGTAGTGTAGTCCAGGTGCTAGATTCCCACAGAGCTGTTCAACATTCAAGTCCAGATCTGGAAGCTTGAAAATCACACCAGGTGTGTGTGTGCAGGTGCCTAAAATCCCCAGGAGAAGGGATTAAGGCATGGCCATTCCCCCAAGGGGTGATTTCTCACTTTCCCTCCCAGTCTCTGTCTCTCAGGTAAACACACATGGCCTACAGTTAAAACCTTCTTGGGAACCAGCAGTTAGCGTAATGGCTATGTCGCTGGACTCCCACGTAGTCGACCGTGGTTCGTGTCCCGGACCCGGTGGCTTAAAACTCACGCCGGGCGCGTGTGTGTGCGTGCCCAAGATCCCAAGAGGAGAATGGAGGAGAAGGGATTGCAGTGTGACCATCCCCCCTGGGGGGTGATTTCTCGCTTTCTGTCTCTATGTCTCTCTCTGTCTGTCTGGCGAGCGCACGCGCCCTACAGTGAAAATCTCTCCAAAAAAAAACCAAAAAAAAACAAAAAAAAAACCTTCTTAAAAAAACAAAAACATTATACGGGGGCCAGCAGGTGGCGTGGTGGTTGAGGCCGCTGGTCAATCTTCGTTTGAGTCCTGGATCTGGTGGCTTGCCTGTTTTCTCGCTTCCCCCTCCCCTTGTTCTGTCTCTCTCTGGACAAATTAAAGTAAATAAATAAATAAAGTTAATAAAATAATCCTTTAAAATAATTCTTTTAAAAAGGTTAATATGGGGGACCAGCAGTTAGCATAATGGCTATGTCGCTGGACTCCCAGGTAGTCAACCAAGGTTCGAGTCCTGGACCTGGTGGCTTAGACTCACGCCAGGCACGTGTGCATGCGTGCCCAGGATCCCGAGAGGAGAATGGAGGAGAAGGGGCTAGGGTGTGCCCATGCCCCCTGTGGGGTGATTTCGCACTGTCTCTCCGTTTCTCTTTTTCTGTCGAGCACATATCCTCTATAGCAAAAACCTCTCCAAACATAAACAAATAAAAAATGAAAATAACTTTTAGGGAACTAGCAGTTAGCGTAATGGCTATGTCGCTGGACTCCCACATAGTCAACCGCGGTTTGCATCCCGGACCCGTGGCTTAAAACTCACGCCGGGCGCATGTGCGTGCATGCCCAAGATCCCGAGAGGAGAATGGAGGAGAAGGGATTACAGTGTGGCCATCCCCACTGGGGGGTGATTTCTTGCTTTCTGTCTCTATGTCTCTCTCTGTCTGGCGAGCGCACACGCCCTATAGCAAAAACCTCTCCAAAAAAAAGAAGTAAAAAAAAAAACAAAAATGACTTTTCTATACATCAATAAGCAGTTAAAAAACAGACTATTTCACATATGGTAATTATAAAAATGAAAAGAAAATAACTTTTCTATACATCAATAAGCAGTTTAAAAAACAGAATATTTCACATATGGTAATTATAAAAATGAAAACACCTAGAAATAAACTTAAATATGCCAACAATAGATGAATATTAAGAATCTGAGGGGGTATGAAGATTGACAAACAGACATTCTTTTTTCCTTGGATAATAGAATCTATACAATAAAAATGACATTTTATTTTATTTTTTAGAGAGATTTTGGCTATAGGGCGCATGTGCTCGCCAGAGAGACAGAAAGGAAGAGATCATCCATCAGAGAGAATGGCCATGCCATCTCCAGTCTCCTCTCGGGATCTGGGGTATACATGCACACGTGTTCAGTATGAAGTGTTTTTTTGTTTTGTTTTTTTCTTTTTTTGGAGAAGTTTTTGCTACAGGGTGCATGCGCTTGCCAGAAGAAGAGAGACAGAAAGCGAGAAATCATCCCCCCACCCCCCCCCCCGGGGGGGGCTGGCCATGCCACAATCCCTCCTCCTCCATTCTCCTCTTGGGATCTTGGGCACACACGCACATGCGCCTGGCCTGAGTTTAAGCCACCGGGTCTGAGACTCGAACTGCGGTCGACTACGTGGGAGTCCAGAGACATTGCCATTATGCTATCTGCTTGGTCCCTGAAGTGTGAGTTTTAAGGAGCTGGGTCCAGGACTCAAACCACAATCAACTACCTGGTCGACTACATAACCATCATGCCAACTGCTGGTCCCAACAACATTTTAAATCAAAGGAAAACAGATGCATTTAATAAATATTTGTCACATATGACAAAGATCTCATTTCTTTATTATTTAGAGAACTCTAACATATCAGAAAGGAAAAGGCAATAAATATAAACAGACACTTCACAGGAAAAATATAGTAGGGGCAAAAACATGTTTTAAATAATTATTTTAACTTTATTTTTATTTATTTATTTTAATTTGACCAAGAGAGGGACAGAAAGAGAGAAAAAGCAAGAAAGCAAGTCACCAGATCCAGGACTTGAACTGTGGTCAGCCATGTGGGAGCCCAGCGCCCTTAACCATCACACCACTGCTGACCCCCCAAAAACATTTTTAAAAATGCCTAATCTTAGGGCCGGCAGGTGGCATGGTGGTTGAGGTGCTGGACTCTCACATGGCTGACCACAGTTCAAATCTTGAACCTGGCAACTTGCTTTCTTGCTTTCTCCCGCCCTCTCTCTCTCTGTCTGTCTCTCTCTGGTCAAATTAAATAAATAAATATTAAAATTTAAAAATTATTTTAAAAAATGGCTGATCTCATTTAAATTTAAAGTAGCACAGAGGTTTTCACTTACCAGATTAAATTTTATCAGCTTTTACTTCATGCTATCAGGAGAGGGAACAGGAACTCTCTTGAGCTACTGGTCGGAGTGACAACTGACACAATTTTTTGGAGGGCAATTGGGTAACATAGATAAATTTTTAAAAATGAGGATAGCCTTTAAAACCCAGCACCCCTCGGCCTAGGAGTTTACATCTAAGGAAGCCCTCTGCAGCACGGTTGGGGACAGTGCAGTGGCAAAATAAAACAGCTTGATGTCCAATAACCTGATGGATCTGAGAGGTCCGCTAAGTGGAGTGACTCTCCAAAAGTCACACATTGTTGGATTCATCTCCAAATAGGAAGTTCGATTTTTAAGAAAGGCTTCTAGTCTATTAACAGGGAACTGGTTAAAGAACTATGGGACATCAACTCAATGTGCCTTTAAAATAAAGGGTAGTAGACACGATATGGACAGATCTGATAAACTGAGGTGGG